ATATATATATATGTGTGTGTGTACAATATATTATATATATATATGTACAAAGCCAGTTTGAGTCATCATGTTTTTGCAGGTTTCTCAAGTCAGCCCACTCTGATCTGACAGAACACTTCATAGATGGAGTCTCACTTAATTATCCATCTTTTTCAGACTGTCTGTCACTCGCTCTCTTTCTCTTTCTCTCTCTCTCTGACACACACAAACAGTCACTCAGTCTTGCACTTTTTAAGGCATACATTCTTTCCATTTATGTAAGCAAAGCATTAAAAGTTACCAGGAGAGAACAGGAGAAACAGGAGAAACAGGAGACACGCTTTAAGGACACCAGTGCAAAAGAAATAAAAAGGGGGGGCAATGATAAGATGAAGAGGGGGCCTGCGGCTGTCACATCCATGAGATCATGTGTGACACGGGAGGGGGGTGGTAGGTCACCGAGTGCATAGCAAAGAGAAGGGGTTATGCGGCTTATTATTCATTTGTCTTCTGCCTTATTTCCATATCCTTTTGTTGCCAGAGCTTGATAGGTCCTGGCACGCACCTGGCCCTTCTGTGCCAACAAACTACTATCTGATGTGCTTCTACAGTGGTGCACACAAGCATCTGCATGCACATTTACGTGCACTGTTGCATTGAGACACAATACAGAGCCCAGAAAACTAAGGGCTGTCTAAGCAGGGGTGAAGGTGGTAATTATTCCGGGGGTCCCAAGGTGCAGGTGGGAGACTCATAATCCAGGGTGGCTTGACTCGTAGCGTGGCAGACTAATGTGCCACAGTTTCACACATTGTCAAAGTCCCATTAATTCCCACAGAAGCTTGTTCTTAGAGAGCTATAACAGTTGCATACTAAGTGCCCATCCTTCACTTGTAGACTTGTTTCAGGAACGTGATGAGAGCGCTGTACAAACACGCCATCAAGCTTCATGACCACACACACACACACATACACATACACGCGCGTGCGGTCACAGGTTTGACGTGAATAAATGCAATCAAAAGTTTGGTTCTTACCTTCCTCAGCTGAGTTAGGCTGGAAAAACAGACAGAGAGACAGAAAGACACTCCACATCTCCACTACAGAATGACACTGACAGGGAGAGAGGGAGGGAGAGAGTATGAAAGAGAAAGAGGGAGATAGAGTGAGTGTGTGTGACAGAGCAAGAGGTGGGGGTGGGGGGGTGGAGAGGGGGTGGAGTCTGTTTGCTCCCTTTATCTAAGAAAAAGAGAGAGAGAGGATGGGGGGTGGATGGATGAATGGATGAGGGAAGCAGAAAAATATTTACAGAGCAGCAGATACAATAAGTACGCTGCCAAGTGAGGAAGTAAACAAAACACCGTTGTCACAGAGACAGGAGGAGAGAACGAGTGAGAGGAGGAAAGTGGGAGAGAGGGTTTATTTTCTTATATGGGAGAAACAAAGACAGAGAGAAGAGACGACACGAGAGTGACAGAGAGCGAAGGGAGAGAATTAATAAACAAGTTTTTCTGGTCTTTAAAACAGCCGTCTAGACACGACTAACGCCGTCCATTGCAACGCTGGCTGGCAGGCTGTGGCATCCCTCTCATGTCTGGACACTGTGCTAACCCGCATTTTTTCAAGCTGTGGCATGTGAGTGACCAACTTTTTGCTGTTTTTCTTGATCTCACTCAGCTCAACCTTTATGGAAAATGAATATAATTTAGACACGTTTTTTGGGACGCTCGACATCCTTCATGTGGCTTCATGCTCTAACACCACTCCACCACAACCACCACCCTACTCTCTCAGACACACTCCTCGCCTCATAGGACAGCTCATCCAGACAGTATGTAGACTCACACTCAGGCGCACACACACACACACACACACACACACACATCTGAGCAGCCCTTCTGGTCTGTGCACGCCACTAGCTGGCCAGCCTGCAGTACTGCAGCTTGTTGATGGGCTTTCATGCTCCAGTTCACTGCTGTGAGTAACTGCTGTGGACTCTTGCAGGGAGATGTGCTGTGTGGATTTGACACAGTTAGATGGCCCCATTCCCAGCCAGCCGGGGGGCCCCTTACCAAAGGCTGTGTGCTTCTTCGATGGGCTGAGGTACACAAGGTAAAGCCAAACAGGAAATGGAAGATTATATTGTATAGCTAAAGCGACCAATCAGACTGAAGCTTATCTTGTCCATCGTCAGAAAAATTTTGATATAAGCAAAAAAGGGAAAAAGGTAATTTCAGCTTTGACTCAGAGCAGGTAGCTTTACATCTTGGATTTAGCAGATTTTTATGCCAGATGGCCCTCTGACACAACAGCCAAGGGATTTGTGTGTCCTCATGGAATCAAACTGGGCACCTTTGTGATTGTCAGACAAATATGTAAACATCTACAATTGACTTGTGAGCCCCACTAGGGGAGAAATTTCAATCTCAGTCTGGTTGTCCACATAGGTGCTTAGAAATGAGATCACCCTTTTGGAGCACAGGTATGGGGTTTAGTCTGTCACACAGACCCGATTCAGTGCGACTCTAATCATTGTGAATAAATGATTAATCTGCTTAGAAATCATGGAAAACTGGAGTCGCTAACAGCTTTTAATGAATTCAGTGTGATGCAGGCACGTAAACAAATAGTGGGATGTAAAATATCTGTAGCCCACAGGTACTCAGCAGATTCTTCATCTGTCAAAGCATTATGGAAATTTGAGCCATGATCGCAGCTTAAACTGAAGACGGATAATGTATTACAAGACTAATGACAAAAACCTTTAATATCGACTTTCGCCTCAGTTTTGTCTGCGAGCAAATTCTTAATCAGTGTCTTTTTGCTATTCTGAAAAGCGAGTCCCTTTGGATGTGACCTCACAAACACGAGATCAGTGATTTAAAAACAGATCACAGGAAGTTCCCTCTGCGTCTTCTGATTTGATTTTTGAGCTCGTAACAAAAATGTCAACACAATACACGAATGTATTATTTAAACCCGATTCATCAACAGTGGCGCTCGTGGCTTGTGTTGTAATACCGCGCCTCACAGCTCACTGAGGTTTTTCCACAGCGAAACGAGAAGGAAACGCTGCAGTGGAGAAGTGGTTGCCCGATGGATTACCACGGAGCGACAGTTAACATTAAACATTCATGATAACTAACTGGCTTTGACTTGTGGCCTTATAAACTCACAAAACTTATGATCTTTACGCTCATTAGTCAGGCGGCGCTTTTCCCTTGAAACATGTAAAACTTTTTCTTCTTGGTTTCTCTAAGCCAAGTGTCTCGCACGAAGGTCATCTCTAAGTCTGACACACGCTCAACTTAGCTAATTGCTTCTGTTTATTTACACAAACAAAAGAGCAAAATATACATATTAAAAATGTGAAAACTGCAAAGCAACACAACTGCATCTGATACAGTGACACTAGGAGTGCAGAGTGCAAGAAAAATCAAGGTGGAAGTAACAGGTTTCACAGGACAAGTGAAAACCGCACACCTCTCGAGCACATGCGACACATTTACATGTAGCAGGCGCAAACAGTATGCGCAATCATTATTCAGTAGTCTGACTGCCAAAGTGCTAACATAACCCTGCTAAGCTCATCAGTTTGTGCACACCCAGAAGAAGATGCTGCTCTGCAAACACCGACACATCATGTGCTGCAGCAGCTGATCAGTGTGCAGCAACTGGAGCCTTTACAATACATACACATCATTTCAAACAGTTAGAAACAAATGCAAACAACGACTCTTCGGTTCTAAAATAAATACAATTCACGTAGTGTTTTTTTTTTAAATTCAACATCGTCAAGCGTGTGTAATGACCTGTTTTGACTGAGATGTGCATTTAGTTATCAGTAGTCCGCAATGTGCTTTTACACATCCCTCAAATGAGGTAACAGTTTCACACTAGCAAATACTTTAAAACACTGCTTTAAAACTGTATTTTATTTTACAACCTACTTTGCAATAGCTGCTTCTCTCAAATGCTCTACAGATGTGGAAAGAGTTTCAAGTACAGTGGTGGATAAATATCCTTTCTGTGCTGTAACAATTAGGAGCTATAAACGTACACATTTGGCCACCTGAGTTTCTAAAATCCAATCTGAGCTGTAAACACCAGCATTTTTTTTTCTCGTTCTACTTTGTACCCTGCAGTGAAATCTGCAAACTAAAGAGGTAAGCTTTTGTTTTTTTGAGAAGCCTTAAAGAGGCTTTGTTCAGGCTTGGCGGTGCTAGACTACATCTCTCTCGTCCTCATACAAATATTACATTTGATGCAGACGGCTCCGGCTTACAGAACTCGCCTTGTTTTATTTATTTCTCGGCACAAACGCTGTCGCATCCAAACAGCGGACAAGCAGAGACATCCTCTGCTGTCAGGGTATTTGGTGCTACTGCTGGATGAAAGGAAGTCTTTGTTTTCTACATGCATAAATATATTTATTCAAAATCTATATGGACCTGAAGTGGAGAGGAACTGCTGCTAAACCCCCCTCAGTGCTTTTTTTCTGCCTCAAGGCAGGCAACAAGGCATTTCAGAGAGGACAGCAAGTCAATCTTTTCTTTTTTGCGGGTCAAACAACCGAACTCCAAATCCGTCTTTTCAAGCTTGACCTCAATACATAAACCCCCAAATCCTGCAACCTTTTAACACTGTTGGTAGCTGAAGACCTCACACAGAACATATGCTGATCCTCTTATAAGGTAAAAAAGGATGGGAGCTGGCACTGGAAATGTCAACAAACCTTAAATACTGGTAATTCATTTAAGTGTAGACCGTGTTTAAAGCAGGATTAAAGAGGAATTCTGTCCATTAATTAAGCATTTCTAGCTGGGATGGATCTTTAAAAACACGCTTTCATTTTTTTTAAAAAGGCACTTTAAAAGCACACATATAAAATACCAAAACCTATTTTTTGCATTAGTACACTGAAATGGCTTCTTCCAAACACACACCTTTCATTATTTCTGACTTATGCAATATAACTTAATATATAAATATAAAATAGTATATATAATAATAGAACTTTTACACTAGCTATGTGCAAGGCCCATGTTTGTCTGCTTTGTTTTGCACCAAATCTTCCTTCGTATCTTCAACAGTTTTTCATTTTGCTTCTGAAGGAAGATTCACCATGGGAACTTTTTCTGTGGGGGACATCGGTGCAGGCTCTTTGTTTTCAACCACAACTGCCTCAGGCACCGGGGAATGGGAGGGTTTTTCCACCCTGGCGGCAAATCCCTGTGCAATGTCGTCAAAGGTCCTCCCTTTTGTCTCAGGAACTCGCAGGTAGGTGAAGATGAAGAACAGGATGAGGAGGACCATGAAGATGATGAAGACGTAAGGGCCACAAATTTCCTGGGAAAATCAGAGGGACGTTTGTTATGAGACAAACTGGAAGACGACTAATATTTGTACATGTGTGTGCATGTGAACATTTTCTGCAGGGATGATAAATGTGAAAAATACCTCCAGTCTAGGGAAACCCAGCCCCACCAGGAAGTTGGCAGTCCAGTTTGAGAAACCAGAGACGGCCATGGCTGCAGGTCGGGGCCCCTGGGAGAAGAGCTCAGCCACGATGAACCAGGGGATGGGACCTGGACCCATCTCAAAACTGGCAACAAAGCCAAACACAGCCACAATTGCCAGATAACTTAGAGATGGGGTGGTCTTCTGCTCAGAGAAAGAAACAGACAGCATGAGGAAAAGATGTAAATGCAGCAGCAATAGGCTGGCTTCTCATTTTTATTTTACAATGACGAACTCACCACTAAGGACAGGGAGATGGTCATGATCAGGGCGCAGATGGCCATTCCAGCCAGTCCAATCAGGTGCAACGTCCTGCGTCCCGCCCGTTCAACCAGGAAGAGCTGGAGTTCAAAGAAACACAATTATCAACTGACATTCAACATAATATTTAACCTGCACTAAATTAACTAAACCACCTGCGCACTCAGACACTTACAGAGACAACAGTAAACACTGTGTTGACGACTCCAGCGCCGATGGTGGCGTAGATGGGCTCAGATACACCAGCATTACTAAAGATGCCTGTGGAGTAGTAAAAGACCTGAAAGAGGAAATGAAGGAAAAGTCAGTTAATATTGATTCTGATTAATAAAAAGTGCTCAGAACATGATTTGACTGCACATACATCAGTT